TCAGTTTTATGAGGACTCTTCGTGTTGTTTTTCATGGTGGCTGTACTAGTTTACAGTCCCACTAACAGTGAACGAGTTCCCTTTTCTCCACATGGAGGTGGCTTAGGAAACGCATTTCTGTTCGTCCCCAAATCTCTTTTGGTTATCCTGCCTTCGGTTTATTTTAATACTCTAAGCCAGGCGTCCCCAGACTTTTTACACAGGGGGCCAGTTCACTGTCCCTCAGACCGTTGGAGAGCCGCCACATACTGTGCTCCTCTCACTGACCACCAATGAAAGAGCTGCCCCTTCCTGAAGTACGGCGGGCGGCGGGGGGAGGGGCGGATAAATGACCTCAGGGGGCCGCATGCGGCCTGCGGGCCGTAGTTTGGGAACGCCTGCTTTAAACTAAGGGTCAGCAAGCTTTTTCTGTAAAGGTCTAAATAATAAATGTTTTAGGCTTTGCCAGCTGTGAGGTCTCTGTTACAACCACTCAGATTTGCTGTTGTGGTGGAATTGAAGGCATAGATGTCTACACAAGTGGACATGATTACGTTTCAATACAACTTCAATTACAAAAATAGGTGGCCGCCAGATATTGCCTGTGGGCCATTTTCCTCAACCTGCTCCAAACCTTCCCCACACTGTCCCTGTCCTCACTGAGGCCTCTCAATGAAGTGTCACTGTGGCTGAACTCCAACGTCCAATCTTTTCAAGTTACATGTGTTATTGCTTGAATATACCCTGGGTGAGTCTGTCCGTGTCTCACATATACCCATAGTGAAATATATATTTATATATTCCTACCACGCACAGTGATCAGCACAAGAGAACCTTAAATGAATAAAATTATCAAGTTACTTTTAAGGGCAAAAACCACAATCACTTTTGTGCCAACCAAAATATCTGCATTCCAGAAAGGTTGTAAAAGTATTTCCAGAGCCTGCAGCCATAGTCAAGGTTAGAAAGAGGGCTCAATCAAGGGACCAAAAAAACTAGTCTGTAAACCAATATGACCCAGCTAGATGACCCCAGACAATAACTTTATTATGCCTCAGTTTCCCTATCTACACAACGGAGGTGGTAGTTTACCTGCCCAAAGGCCAAATTTTGGACCAGATAATCCCTTGGAGATTATTTCCCCAAATCAGTGTTTTTCAGATGGTCTTAAGTATCTGCATTCCCTGGGGTGCTTTGTGAAAACAGACTACCAGACCCCAGCCTGAGTTTCTGAGTTAGAGTAGATCCAGCGGGTCTTGAAGTGCCACCAAGTTCCCAGGTGCTAGTGCTACCACTGCTGGTGTTGGCTTACACCTGAGAGCCCCTAGTCTATACAACAGAGATCGCTCAGTCCCTTATACAGGAAAGCAATGTTGGGGGAATGGCTACAGCTGACTTCTCTTTATTTTTTCAAAATGGGGTTCCTTCTTAAAGGGATGAGAGGTTAGTTCTCTTTGCCCACTGAGTCTAAGGCACCACAGCCACACCTCAGCATCTAATTCCAGGTTGAAAGAAAGCTGGGGTCGTCCCCTCATGGTGCCATTCTCTGGAGAAGAATGGAAACACAGAGTACTGTTGAGAAGAGAGAGGCAAGAATGCTACCACATAAGCCATCCTTCTACAACTTTCTCTTACCATAAACACAAAGCACTGATTGAAAGTCAACCCTACACAGAGGCCCAGCAGCAAGAAATGCAAGGTGAGATGCAAGGACTTAAGAAGACTGGGAAAGTGCAAACTGTCCTCAAGGACTCTTATGAGCTAGGCGAAATTTACATGTGTTCACACACTCGAGTTCCACATCCAGAGAGGTAGATAATTAGACAATTAGGTCATGTGCCATGAAAATAGAGGCGTTGCAGAGAGGGTGTTCGTGGATTTGAGAGATCTGGGCAAGCATTCCTGGAGACAGGGAGGCGGGTTGGCAAAGGCTGAAAGGGAGAAGAAGAACGGGAGCAGTGGAAAGGCAAGGAAAACGCGAGAGGAAGCATGGATGCACCTGGAACATTAGCAGAGCGGGCATGAGAATGAGCAGAGGGGACTCTTAGACCTGGCTCTCTCCCTGCCAGTGTGTACTTCCCTTCGTTGTTCCCATTTCTGTGTCCCAGTTTCCTCCTTTCATGGAATGAGGGATTCAGGCCAAATTTTCTGAAGTTTCTAAATTTTGTTCACCTTGGAGAGACCCTAAGCCAGAAAAGGGCAAATGAGCAGGTGGAGGCCAGGCGCGGTGGCTCAAGCCTGTAATCCCAGCACTTTGGGAGGCTGAGGCGGGTGGATCACGAGATCAAGAGATCGAGACCATCCTGGTCAACATGGTGAAACCCCGTCTCTACTAAAAATACAAAAAATCAGCTGGGCATGGTGGCACGTGCCTGTAATCCCAGCTACTCAGGAGGCTGAGGCAGGAGAATTGCCTGAACCCAGGAGGCGGAGGTTGCGGTGAGCCGAGATCGTGCCATTGCACTCCAGCCTGGGTAACAAGAGCGAAACTCCGTCTCAAAAAAAAAAAAAAAAAAAAAAAAAGAGCAGGTGGAGCTTCTCTCTGTCCTACCTGTCCTTCATCCAGAGCAGCCCTGTTTTCTTATGTTTTTATACTCCTTGTACAGCTTTGCTTCCAAAAGGATTTAAAAATTACTCAACAAGAAATTCTATAAAGGCTCCTTCCATCTGCACATCGTACGGCTTGAGGAGAAGACAGTAAGAAGCCAGTTAGCACAGGGAAGGGGTTTCTATGTTGGCCAGGCTAGATTCTAGAACAGCTGGAAAGCAGAGAGGGGCTTAGAGCAAGGGAGTGGGAAATAGGGAGCCATTGAGGGTTTGTGAGTAGAGGAGTGCCACAGCAAAAGAAATTGAGCCCACAAACTACTGTACTAGAAACTGATCTGAAAATCTCAACTGCTCAGAAATTTCTGAGTAAAAACAAAGGGTGATTTTTCCCCGTTGTCAGCCTTCCCTCCCAGGTCATTTTACTGTATGCAAAATGGGTAACTGTAAGACAAACATTTTTTTCCACTGCCATTCTCAGCCCCACAGGCCTTCAGGAAGACCCGAACTTCAAGCAAAGCCTTTTTATTTTTCAACACCCACAGCTTCCATTCAACAATCAGAAGTTTTCCACTTTGATCAAAGAGGCTGAACAAGAGGACCAAGGGAGCAGCTGGTTCTCAGCAGCTCTGGGCAGACCACAGAGCCCTGGCTACCCACTCACGTCCGTGCCTACCAGAGGACACAGCCCTCTCCCAAAATCAGCCAGGTACATGCTCCAGAAAACACTGGTTTGCCTCCTTCCCACCTTAATTACCAGACCAAATGAATGTAAACACATGGTTTTCAAAACCAGACTCAACTTAGGATCACAGGGGCTTCAGTTTCCTTGGCTGTAAAATGGGTATGCCGCTCCCGACTCTATTTAGCCCAAGAAAACAATTTATGTCTTGATGCCTCTTTCGCTTCCAGGATTTATGCTCTTATGGACTCACTGGGAAGAAATATCCAGACCAACTCCTAAAGCCTGAACTAATTTGGGAGAAACTTGGAAGTTTCGGATCTGTGTAAGAACAGCAGTGCTAAGAGTCCAAGCTTGGCTTTCAACACAGGACATTTCCCTAGGGGCATCTGGGATCTCTGCTGCCTCAAAGTGACATGTTGCAGCCAAAAAGTGAGCAGAAAGGAAAAGGGGTGCCACACAAAATGAGCTCCTTCCAGGTTGATACCACGTGGAGTTTTCAAAGAGCCACATCTGGAGGCAGCAGCTACGCAGTGATTCACATTGTAAATGATGTTTCGAAATAGAGATCGTTAGTAACCACACATGTGACCTAGCTCTGTCCCCCAGATAATCTGTCTATTGTATCTAAATTCCAGAATTGGAATTTAGGACACCCATTGGAATGTTTAATAGGAATTGTCCAACACCATCCCTAAGTCTGTTTTTACTCATGAAGTACTCTGACATCATCTCACTTGGTCTTCCTGATGACTGTAATGCAGACAGGGAACAGGGAAAGCCATAAGGACTTGTACAAGGATCAAAGGCTAAGAAGGGAAGGGCTGAGACCAGACGTCAGGTTTTCAGCCTTCAGGTGCAGTGACGATTGAATGACTTGGCACGAGCTTTCAGCCAGGCGGGCTGCAAAGTGCACCCAAGTGCTTTTCAGTGACTTTGGTTGAGACAATTTTCATCCTCCCTGAGCCTCAGTTTTCCCATCTGTGAAAAATAAACATTGCCTGCCTGAGAGGGTGGAGGTGAAAGTGGATTGAGGCCACATGTAACTCCTATCACTGGGCCTGAGAGAGTAGAGATTCAATTATATATAGCCATCATATATACACCACACACACACATATGCAACACAACACAAACAAACCACACAGCATGCATCTCAGATCACAGATGCACATCACACACAGACTGCATACATATACCATACAGAACACACAACACACACACATACCCCCATACCACAAATACACACCACGCACAACACACAGAGCCCCCATACCACAACACCTCATTGCTAATTCCTTCCCCTTTTCATGAGTTTTATGGCAGGCCCAGGTTCATCTAATGGTTTAACAGATCCCAAAACATTCTGCAGGAGTGTTTGTTCAAAGGATGGATGTTTCCAGATTCCTGCTCTCTGACAGTATCTCTGAACCCCAAACTGTATACTGCCATGAGCCAGTTCCCCTTTGTGGGAAATCCCCCATTTGTGGGCCCCTTTTTTTTCCCCCAGGGACCCTGCAGCATGTCCTGTTTTCAGCAGGAGCCAATATGATCAAAATGATCCCTTTGGAGTTATTCCACCGCAGTCCGAGGGATCCCACCTCCCTGAAACCCAGCAAAGACTCATTATCTGGGAAGGTCTTCTGAGCCGCAGGCCTCACCGAAAGAAGGTGCAACTTCTCAAACAGGAAGGCGTTTTGTGGCTGGGTCTAAACGAAACAGAAGTTGCTTTGTGTGTGCGCACGCATGCAAGGACACACACACACACACACACACACACACACACGAGTAGGGGAACCGTCATTTTCCTATGCGCCCTCTGACATCAGCCACCTTCTCTGTAGCTAGTTTCTCTGCACTCAACTTAATCCCTGGCAATGAAAATGAACCTCTCCCCCACCCTTGCTGCCGCCTCTCGCCTCACGCCCCCAGAGAAGAGTTTCTCCGCCAGGCAGCAGGTGAAGGTTTTTTTCCAAGTCACATGATTCAGGATGCAGGGGAAGAATCCTTCTTGGAACAGAGATGAGCCCAGAACTGAATCAGATGAGGAGAGATAAGGTGTGATGTGGCGAAGACTATATAAAGAATGGACCCAGGACTGCAGCAAGCACTCAACGGAATGGCCCCTCCTGGAGACACAGCCATGCATGTGCCGGCAGGCTCCGTGGCCAGCGACCTGGGGACCACGAGCCGTAGCTACTTCTATTTCACCACAGCCACGCTGGCTCTGTGCCTTGTCTTCACGGTGGCCACCATTATGGTGTTGGTAGTTCAGAGGACGGTAAGTGGACTCCTCTTCCTCCCTTTCCCTTTCTTGTTGTTTTCCCTAGAGAAGGAACCCTTGGAACAAATGGTATTCATTTGCTGGGTAAGAGCAAAAAATAAAATTAAATAAATAAATAAACTATATCTATAGTATATAGTATATACTGTTTAACATAATATACAGTATATATGTTATCATTTAACATAATATACAGTATACATGTTATCATATACCATAATATACAGTATATATTTTATAGTATACTATATATACATATATTTGAGAAAGGGAGAAAAGAAAGAGGAACTTAACTCTCTGAAATAATTTGGCTTCTTGAGAGAAATATTGTTAGACCATCATCATCTCAAACCTTTGCAGACCTGTTTGAGCAAAACAGTGGAGCAGAGCTATTGGCCTTGTGAAGTTAAGATTTAAATCTTAATGAGCCAAAGACCCATATCGAAGAAAGAAACAATAAAGAAACCTGGTCAGACTTTGCGCAAGTTTTTATCCTGTCTTCAAGAACTTCAGACTGGATTCCAAGGTTCTACATCCTAAGTCCGAGTGTCCTGGAGGTTTCTGAGGCCTCACCTGTTGCCAAGAGTTTTTGTTTTTGCTTTTGTTTTATAGAAAGAGGTAAGTTTCAGAGGTCAAGTTCTAGAAGGAAAGGAGGCAAAAGAGAAGTCCATGGCTCCTTAGAGCCTTGGACATGTTGGTGTTAAAGCCAGCAAGACAAATCGAAAGCTTCCTCTGAAGCCACCACTTTGAAGAAGTGAGGGCGTCACAAGAAACAGCACATAGAGGCAGAAAGTAGAAAGGCTTTGAGCACCTGTTCTCTCTGCGGTTCCTCACAACACTAAGCAATCGTTGGGTACACACTGTACAGGGTCAGACTGTGTTGGGAAATGTACTTCATTTGAAGTAAATGCTAAGATTTGTTTCTGAAAACAGAAGAGGAGAAGAAAGAGGAAGCTTCTTCATATTTTAGGAAATTGGTGTTTACAGAGACTCTACCAGTATGTATTGTGTAGAAAATACTGTAGTCATAGCCTATATTGCTAATGATTTGTGTGTGTGTGTGTGTGTGTGTGTGTGTGTGTGTGTGTAGTAAAGTTGTTAATTTCAGTGATCAACACTTGTGACTTTGGTTGAGACAGTTTTCATCCTCCCTGAGCCTCAGTTTGCCCATCTGTAAATCTGTAATTTGGGTAATTTAAGAACTGTACCCACCCACGTGAACTGCCAAAGTGAGAATATTTCTGTTTCTTACTTCATAGCTCCTACTTTTCATCATATTATAATCCTACAGAATCTGTTCTGGTTTTTCTTCAGTTTTCTTAAGCCAAATACTCTATAGCTTATCAACTGCTGGAAAGAACTAGGCTTTAAAAGGCTTTGATATCTGTTTCTCAAGTGTCATGAAGCTTTGAAATTCATAAAGCTTTGAAGCTCATATCTCCACAAAAGTGAAAAGATCGAGTTGCAAATACTTGATTTAGATAGTGGAATTCTTAAAACTCATAATTTAATGGGCTTATCTACATCTATTAAGTCTAAGACTCTTGAAAACACTTTAGGGCATCTTCTGTAAGGGCTCTGAAATTTCTGTAATTCTAATTTAGAGTAAGCCAAGGGTGTGTCATTTTGTAGCAATGGCCAAAGAAAAGAAATGGAAGTGTCCTTTAAGAAGTCCTTCAGTGAAAGGATGCAACTAAACTGCTGAGAGAGAGAGATGGTGGAGGAGTGGGTGGCAATGGTGATATATAAAGCTAGAGAGAGCTAATTCAAATCCAACTTGTAGCTGAATTGATTTCTTCCATAAAAGAACTGGAGCAGATCTTTCTGCTTCATTTTTGTAAATGTGGAAAATGAGGAGCAGAGAGGGAACAGGGCTTGCACGACGTCACCCTGAGAAAGTGGTAGAGCCAATACTTCTTGATTGGTGCCAGCAGCATCCCCTTTGCCAACACAGCCAGCCACAGAAGGACTACGAAACACTGTGCCACTCTTCCTTGGGAGTTTTATCATCTTGTGCATCCATGTCCTTCACTTACCCCTCATGTTTCGATATGAAAAGATTCACTGCACAATCTGATTATATGGTTCGGTGTGCTGTGATTTCTTAGCCCAGGAAACACTAGTTGCTTCCTTAAAACTAAAGCCTGTCATATTAATGGTAGCTGTGATATACTAAGTGTCAAATGCATTGCACATATCATTTCCAATAAATTGCTCCGACTTTAATGATTGTAAGACCTAACAAGAAAAAAAAAAAACTCATTATTCCCAATAACTTGAGTTATAGGGAAGAGTTTCCTATAGGAAGTGGGAATGTAGACTGACTTGAAAGCAGGAAGAACTTAGACAGTGAAGAGATTGTAAAACAAACTCTAGGGAAGAAATAGGAGAAAGCCCAGGTGCCAAGACTCACAGCCTCACTATTAAAAATGGAATGAGTTGATGACCAATTAGCACTCTGTATATGACGGGAACAGAGGTGGGGAACCCTAAAAATGGTTTTATTGGCATAAGACGTCTCACAATTCTTATCCCAAGGCACATGTATAGACGACATTTAAAACAGCTAAGTCAAAATGTATATTAAGTGATGGAAGGGATACCATGAGACTCCAAGTTAAGAAGAAAGTATCTTTTTCCAGACAGGTTTAAGAAAAACTTTTCTAGGGTTAGAGTTTCAGGTTGGCTTGAGAAATGTGAACAGTTTCAAACAGGCAGGGAAGGGAAAGCATAGGAGAGGCACTCCTATCCAATGGAAGAGCATCAGCAAAGAGACAGAGGAGAGAAGATACAGAGAGCATAAGGAAATCATCAAAGCTTGCCTTGAGATTTAGCTTGAAGATCAGATAACTCCAAGCTCAAACTCCTTGGGAGAGACAAAGAAGGAACTTAGGTTTCTATCTCAAATATTTATTAAATATCTACTGTGTACAGGACATTGTTCTATAGCCTTGAACAAAACCAACAAAATCCCTGTCTTTGTGTTGCTATGAAACATACTTTCCAGTGATATTTTTAAAGTCTTGGTGGTGGTCATATTTTGTTTTATTTACATTTAAGCCAGCATATTTATAAAACATATTATTTTATATTATAAAATAATTGCTTTATATTATAAAATAAATGCTATTTTATTTTATAAAATAAACATTTCTATTTTATATTATATTACAAAGTGTTTATAATACAAAGTTTATAAATATTATAAAGTGTTTTTAAGAGTTTTATGCTTAGTAATGTAGATAAGCCCATTAAATTTTTATAATATAAAATAATATTTATTTTATATCATTTAATATTTTATAATATTATACATTAATATATTTTATGTGTTATAAAATATACTTACGTGGTTTAAGAAAAGTAACCAGCAAATAAGAGGGAAAAAAGTAAAAATCTGTCACACCCTCCCACCAACCTCTAATCCCTCTTCACCAAGATAACCACCATTAACAGATTCTTGTGTGTCCTTCCAAATATCTGTGCATCTACAAATACACAGTGCACACATGTCATTATAATAAACCCATAATTTTGCATCTTGCTTTATTCACTTGACACTGTGTATCTTAGAGATCCTTCCATCCTCAGTACATAGAAGTCCACTTCATTCTTTTGAAGTCGCATAGTATGAAGTGTAAATGCTTCATAACTGATCGGTGCCTGGTAAGGGACATTAATTTTTTCTCTAGAATTTTTGCCTTCTGTGCATGTCTGCAAGAATATCTAGGGGATAAATTTTTACTGATAGAAATGGAATGTGCATTTTCATTTCAATAAACATCAATCTGTCTCCAAACAGATTGTACTAGTGTACCCTTGAGGAAGTAAAAGTCCTACCAACAAAGAGACACCTCTTTACATCAATATGGAAAGAAAAAATTGATTTATTGTTGAGTAAGCAAGAGTGCATGCGTATAGGCAGCCTGCAACAGACTACAAAATCAGGATGAAATTTCACACAATTCATCTAGCAAAGCAAAAGAACAAAAAGTAAAACTTCTCTTATCTCCTCAAGAGACAGGAATACATAATGAGATAGACTCCTAGGTTAACACCAGAGGTAGGTGTTTACATTTCAAAAGGCTCTTTGAGACATCCCTGTTTTGAAAACCAGGAGACTGGGCTTCTCTAGCCCCAGGGGAAAATGTAAATAGTTACATTCTAAAAGGTTAGAGTAAAGATTTAAGGATTGGTAGGTTTTCAAGTAAATCATTTCTAGAAAAAAAGAGAAAGCAGCTGCTTCTTTTCCCTTTATAAGCAAAGAAAATCTTTTTTTTTTTTTTTAAAATTATCCCTTTTTTAATTATCTCCACACCAGCATTGGAGCTGACACCTGTTTAAGGGTAGTGATTGTTGGTGGTGGTTTCGTATTTTGAGCTTATTTTCAAGCTCAGACACAAAAGGGAAGTGTAAGGTAAACATACCTGAAACAGCAATAACTTAAGCATACCCTTAGAATAACCATGGATGGCAGACACGTCTGAATGTGTGTCCCAAGCTAGAGAATCCAGGAGTGGTCAACCTGGAGACACAATCCTTGTCTATGAGGAACATCTGAACCCCCAGCCCATCCAGTGGAACATACGCCATCCAGGGGATTGAGGCCTGAGTTTTGGGTTACATGAAGGCTGCCAGGTGGACCTTGTGAGGGGAGGCTGTTAAGTGAACATACTCTAGAAACTGGATGCTGTTTTCAAGTGGTTGTGGTTTTCCTGCCCAGCCCACCCCCACTGGACTGTGTGTAAGGTGACTATGTTGTCCAGTCTGCTGCCATGAGATTATTTCTGTATATAAGGCAGTTCTCTGTTCAGCTCACTGCTGCTGGACTCTCTCCCCTTTATGTAAGCCCCTAATGAAACCCCATGTCTTGTTTGCTGACTCTACGCCTCTTCTTTAGCCTCTTGAACGTGGTTCCTTCCCTGTTGAGGCTAATAGGAGTTCAGCCCAAGAAGAAGTTATCTGGAATGCTCCATGACACTTCCTTCTACCCCAGG